CCTTGCAGAAGAGTCTCGGGTCGAGGCGACACAGTTTCGGGGGCATGTATTTCTGGTACATGTTGTAAAGTTCGTGGAACGGAGCTCTGGACGGAAACCCGCCCTGCATCAAGTCCAAGACCGAGACCATCCCTGAAAAACAGAAAACAAACACGTCAGAACTACGACTACGGCAAGACGAGAGGGACAAAACACACACAGAACTACAACTACGGAGACACGAGAGGGACAAAACACACACAGAACTACAACTACGGAGACACGAGAGGGACAAAACACACACAGAACTACAACTACGGAGACACGAGAGGGACAAAACACACACAGAACTACAACTACGGAGACACGAGAGGGACAAAACACACACAGAACTACAACTACAAAGACACGAGAGGGACAAAACACACACAGAACTACAACTACGGAGACACGAGAGGGACAAAACACACACAGAACTACAACTACGGAGACACGAGAGGGACAAAACACACACACAGAACTACAACTACGGAGACACGAGAGGGACAAAACACACACAGAACTACAACTACGGAGACACGAGAGGGACAAAACACACACAGAACTACAACTACGGAGACACGAGAGGGACAAAACACACACAGAACTACAACTACGGAGACACGAGAGGGACAAAACACACACAGAACTACAACTACGGAGACACGAGAGGGACAAAACACACACAGAACTACAACTACGGAGACACGAGAGGGACAAAACACACACAGAACTACAACTACGGAGACACGAGAGGGACAAAACACACACAGAACTACAACTACGGAGACACGAGAGGGACAAAACACACACAGAACTACAACTACGGAGACACGAGAGGGACAAAACACACACAGAACTACAACTACGGAGACACGAGAGGGACAAAACACACAGAGAACTACAACTACAAAGACAAGAAGGACAAAACACACACAGAACTACAACTACGGAGACACGAGAGGGACAAAACACACACAGAACTACAACTACAAAGACAAGAAGGACAAAACACACACAGAACTACAACTACACGTGAGGGACTAAAATAAAAACAAGACTACAACTACGGAGAGAGCACAGGGACAAAACACAGACTAAAAAAGAATAGACACCATCCCTACAGAGAGAACGTGTGTGTTCAGGACATAGGACTACAACAACAAAACTATACTGAAGACTACAACTACAGAGGCACAAGAGGGACAAAAAATAAACAAAACTACAACTACAGAAAGACGAGAGGGACAAAACACACACAGCATCCCTGAGAACAATATCAAAACATGAAACTACAACTACGGAGAGCGCAGAGGGACAAAACACAGTCTGAAAAACAGAAAAATATACACAAAAAGACGACAACTACGGAAAGAGCAAAGGTCAAAATCTGGTTATTGAAAAAAAAAAAACAAAAAGCAAATTGAAGAACGATGGGACACGGTTAGAGCTGCCGTTCAGTTCATAAATAACGTAAAGCTGCACTACGTCACTTTTCTCGCCGAAGCTCCGCCCCTCGTGCCTGTCTCCATGGAGATGTGATCGCTCTGAAGTCTAATGCCCCACTCTGGAACATTTTACCTTGAAACCATCGAAATTATTATGGGAATTGCCTCGTTCTCGGTGAAACCCGCGCGTCCTTGTGTATCTGCTCCTGTCGCTCTCTGCTCCTGTCGCCCTCTGCACCTGTCGCCCTCTGCACCTGTCGCCCTCTGCACCTGTCGCCCTCTGCTCCTGTCGCCCTCTGCACCTGTCGCCCTCTGCACCTGTCGCCCTCTGCACCTGTCGCCCTCTGCTCCTGTCGCCCTCTGCTCCTGTCGCTCTCTGCACCTGTCGCCCTCTGCTCCTGTCGCCCTCTGCACCTGTCGCCCTCTGCACCTGTCGCCCTCTGCTCCTGTCGCCCTCTGCACCTGTCACCCTCTGCACCTGTCGCCCTCTGCACCTGTCCTCTGCTCCTGTCCTTTGCTCCTGTCCCTGTGTGGTTCATTTTGAGGCAGTTTGGGGGAAAATGCAGCGATTTTCAGCCAGATTTTCCGAGACTCTGATGTGTCCCTGTGGTTTCACTGATAACAGCAGACGCCCGGAACGAGGGATGGGAGAGGAGGAGAGAGAAATGGAGGAGAGAGAGAAGGAGAGAAGGAAAGAGAGAGAAAGAAAGAAAGAGGGAGGAGAGGAGAAGAGGAGAGAGAGGAGCACAGACAGGGGACAGATCTTCTTTTTTTTTTACTGCTTTTAGTGATAACAGTAGATGCAGAGAAAGGATGGAGGGATGAGAGGAGAGAGAGAGATGGAGGAGAGATGGAGGGAGAGATGGAAGAGGGGGACAGAGAGAAAAAGAGAGAGAGAGAGAGATGGAGGAGAGGAGAGGAGGAAAGGGGGAGACAGGGACAGACAGAGAGAGAAGGAGTCTGATCTGCTCCTGTGGTTTCACTGATAACAGCAGACGCACGGAACGAGGGAGGACAGGAGGAGAGATGGAGGAGAGAGAGAAGGAGAGAGAGAGAAATGAAGGAGAGAAGGAGAGATGGAGAGAGAGACAGAAAGAAAGAGGGAGGAGAGAGAGAGGCACAGACAGGGGACAGATCTTTTTTTTTTTAGGTTTTAGTGATAAGAGTAGATGCAGAGAAAGGATGGAGGGATGAGAGGAAGGAGAGATGGAGAGAGAGATGGAGGAGAGAGGGAGAGATGGAGAGAGCGATGAAGAGACGGGGAAAGGGAGGAAAGGAAGGAGAGGAGGAGAGAGGGACAGACAGAAAGAGGAGGACTCTGATTTGTCCCTGTGGTTTTACTGGTAACAGCAGACGCACGGAACGAGGGATGAGAGGAGGAGAGACGGAGGAGAGAGAGAGAGAGAAATGAAGGAGAGGGGAGAGAGACAGAAAGAAAGAGGGAGGAGAGGAGAGGAGGAGAGGAGAGGAGAGAGAGGAGGAGAGGCACAGACAGGGGACAGATCTTTTTTTTTACTGCTTTTAGTGATAAGAGTAGATGCTGAGAAAGGATGGAGGGATGAGAGGAGAGAGAGAGATGGAGGAGAGAGGGAGAGATGGAGAGAGCGATGAAGAGACGGGGAGAGGGAGGAAAGGAAGGAGAGGAGGAGAGAGGGACAGACAGAAAGAGGAGGACTCTGATTTGTCCCTGTGGTTTTACTGGTAACAGCAGACGCACGGAACGAGGGATGAGAGGAGGAGAGACGGAGGAGAGAGAGAGAGAAATGAAGGAGAGGAGAGAGAGACAGAAAGAAAGAGGGAGGAGAAGAGAGGAGAGGAGGAGAGGAGGAGAGGCACAGACAGGGGACAGATCTTTTTTTTTTTGGTTTTAAGTGATAAGAGTAGATCAGAGAAAGGATGAGGGGATGAGAGAAGGAGAGATGGAGGAGAGAGGGAGAGATGGAGAGAGCGATGAAGAGAGGGGGAAAGGGAGGAAAGGAAGGAGAGGAGGAGAGAGGGACAGACAGAAAGAGGAGGACTCTGATTTGTCCCTGTGGTTTTACTGGTAACAGCAGACGCACGGAACGAGGGATGAGATAGATGGAGGAAAGAGGGATGAAGGAGAGAGAGGGAGCGATGGAGAAGAGAGATGGGAGAGAGAGAGAGAGAGAGAGAGAGAGAGAAAGGAGGAGAGGGGGAGAGAGAGAGACAGACAGAAAGAGGATTTTTTTTTGCTGGTTTCAGCAAGAGAGGGATGAGAGGAGAGATAGAGAGATGAGAGAGAGAGAGAGGGAGGAGAGGAGGAGAGAGGGAAAGAGAGAAAGAGAGGAGAGAAGAGGAAGAGAGAGGGACAGACAGAAAGAGGAGGACTCTGATGTGTCCCTGTGGTCTCACTAAAAACAGCAGACGCACGGAACGAGGGATGAGGAGGAGGAAAGATGGAGGAGAGATGGAGAGAGAGATTGAAATGAAGGAGAGAGTGGGAGCAATAGAGAAGAGAGATGGAGAGAGAGAGAGAGAGAGATGGGGGAGGAGAGGGGGAGAGAAGGACAAAGAGAAAGAGGAGTCCAATCTTTTTTTACTGGTTTCAACAAGAGAGGGATGAGAGGAGAGATAGATGAAGGAGAGAGGGATGAAGGAGAGAGAAATGAAGGAGAGGAGGAGAGAGGGAGTGACAGAGAATAGAGATGGAGAGAGAGAGAGAAAGGAGGAGAGGGGGAGAGACAGAAAGAGGAGTCTGATCTTTTTTATTATTACTGGTTTCACTGATAAAAGTAAACGCAGTGAAAGAGGGATGAGAGGAGAGAGAGATGGAGGAGAGGAGAGAGAGATGGAGGAGAGAGAGAGAGATGAGAGAGAGATGGGGAGAGGGAAAGAGAGAGAGAGGGAGGAAAGGAAGGAGAGGAGGAGAGAGGGACAGACAGAAAGAGGAGGACTCTGATGTGTCCCTGTGGTTTTACTAATAACAGCAGACGCACGGAACGAGGGATGAGGAGGAGGAGAGATGGAGGAGAGATGGAGAGAGAGATTGAAATGAGAGAGAGAGAGAGAGAGAGAGAGAGAGAGAGAGCGAGAGAAGAAGAGATGATAAGAGAAGAGAGAGAAGAGAGAGAAGAGAGGAGAGAGAGAGAGATAAAAAGAGAGAGAAGAGAGAGAGAGAGTGGATAAAGAGAGTGAGAGGAGAGATGCAGAAAGGGAGAGAGAGAGAGAAAGAGGGATGAATAAAGAGGGAGAGAGATGGAGAAATAGAGAGAGAGATGGAGAAAGGGAGAGATGGAAAGAGAGAGAGAGATGATGAAAAGAGAGAAAGCAGGAGAGATGGATAAAGAGAAAGATGGAGGGAGAGATGGAGAGAAAGAGAGAGGGAGAAAGCGAGAGAAGAAGAGATGGAGAGATAGAGAGAGAAGGAGAGATGAATAAAGAGGGAGAGAGATGGAGAGATGGCTAGAGAGAGAGAGAGAGAGAGGAAGAGATGGAAAGGAGAGATGGAGAGAGGAAAGAGAGAGAGAAAGCAGGAGAGATGGATAAAGAGAAAGATGGAGGGAGAGATGGAGAAACAGAGAGAGGGAGAAAGTGAGAGAAGAAGAGATGGAGAGAGAGAGCGAAAAAGAGAGGAGAGATTAGGGGAGAGGAGTCAGGAGAAAGTGAAAGGAGAGAGACAGAGTCGGTTAATAAAAGTAAAAAAAA